TGTTGCAGTACTCCTGAGCGCCTTTAGAAGGCGCTGTTGCTCTGAGCAGTTCTAATGGCTCCAGGGTCTAAACACATTTAGTTTTGATGATATCTGAGCCGCAGAGACAGAAATGGATCAGCAGCAGCAGCACAGCCTCAGACTTTCACTTTACCCATTCAATCATGTATTTTTAAACGCTAAGGTTAGGTTAGGTTAGGCGGTCAGTACTCGTTAATTTAGCTGAATCTAATTCAGTGTAGCTGGGTTTATTCAACTGGTAGTTTTACTCAGTTACTGGTACATGACAATAGACATTTCAGACACAGAAATCAGCATTACATGCTCGGCGTCAGTCAGGATTACATTAACTGCCAAGTTTAACTACTTATAGCAAGGTAGTTGCAAAAACAGCAACTGCCTAATTACAAATGTTAGTAGGTTAGTATTAGCTGCTTCTGACATTCACAAATGATAATGTTACAGTGAGATTAACATTCAGACATTAAGTGTCTCAGCACAGCATTTGCAGGTCATTTCACACATTAGGAATCGAGCATTAGCAAGCTGATAACCTTCAGCTCCACACTTGTCTCATCAGAAAATACGAGGTGCATATATTTCAAGTTAACATCAGAAGTGAGGATGCTGACATTAAAACATTGACGTTGCCCAGGTACAACTAATCTGAAGCAGCTACTAGCTGAAAATATCCTCCTCCATGAAAATAACTTGTAATATCCAGCATAGTCAGTCACCTTCTCACATAATGTTTTTTCTTTATTTCCATCACCATCAACAATATCAATGAACACATTATGTAGGAATCATGTAGTAAACACAAAAGTGTAAAATAAAATAACTCAAATCATGATTTATATTTTAGATTCTTTGTAACAGCCCCCTTTACTTTGATCCCTGCTTTGCTCGCTCTTCTTCTCCATCAGCCAGTGAGGTCATCACCTGAAATGGTTTCCAACAGCCTGGACGGAGTTCCCAGAGATGCTGAGCACTTGTTGGTCCTTTAACTTCACTCTGCGCTCCATCTCATCCCAAACCATCTCCACTGGGTTCAGGTCAGGTGACTGTGGAGGCCATAGCTAACATAGATAATATTTGAACAAAGAAGCTAATGTTAGCAGCCAGTCATCAGACACTGAGGCTAGAATTCATTTCAAAGCTTTCGATGTACGGTCAACAGTAGCAACCGGTTTCAGATATTTAAAAAGTTTCAGATATTAAAAAGTAGCTCACTTCAGGAGGGAGTCCGCGCCTTGACCACCCGATCACCATCAGCTGATCATTGATCATGATTGAAGTAGCAACAGGAGAGGGAGGGGGAGAATGAGAGGAGAAGAGGCAGCTGGGCAGCAAAGACACAGAATAACTGCAGCTTTGTGTCTTTGTTTCATTCCAGCTGAAGTCCGGCACGAATCGCTTCCCTTTCACCTACATACGGATGTGTTGTGATTGGTCCAGCCCAGAGTTGATCATGACCAGTTGGCTAATCCACCACCTTTCATTGTTTATACAAAAACAAACAAAGATAAAAATGAAAAATCACCATCGTTGATGATGAACCTCTTAACCTGAACACCTCGTTACCCCGAGGAGCTGCTCAGTGTTCGCTGAAGGAGAAGGTGACCTGTGTGACGCTGGAACAACCTGACTGGATCCTGGTTCGTCCGATTAAAGCTAACAGAGTCCAAACCAGAGGAAAACGTCTCTTTGTTTGTGGTGCTTACACTTGTTGGTGGAATATTCACTGCTGTCCTGTGAGAACCTTTTTCATACTTGAATAAGCAGCCCGTGTGTCTTATCCCTCTAACGAGCTCACACTCTGGTCCTTCCTACGTTTCAGTGCTCTGCAAACCTCACATGGGCTACGTTTGCACCTGGCAGTGAATGTTTGTGTGTTCTTTGTCTCTTTGCGTTTTGTCTCTGTCGTTTTTCTGTTGCAGTCTTCGGGTATGTCATGGTCCGGGTCTGTGGCTGGAACTTTCCATCAGGCTCCTGAGCCTACCTGGTATCCGTCCCTGGGCGGGGCCACGTCCTCCTCCACTTCCTCACAGCTGGAGCTGATGGCAGGCCATCAAGAGAGTGATTTAAGCCTCACGCTGACATTTGTCTCTCCATTTGGGAAATCACTCTGTGTCTCACCTGCCTGCCGTCCTGCAGGAACGTCCGGATCGCAGCAACGTCCGGATCGCAGGTCACACCGCCTTTCCACACCGCCTTTCCACACCACTCAGCTCACTCCGGATCACGTCACCCCTCTCCCATCATTTCCTCCTCCTACAATGTGACTCCTTAACTGTCCCGTTCCAGTCTGCATCTCTGCGCCCGTTCCCTGTTTTTAGATCCACGTCCACCGAGCCACGTTACCCAGGCCACAACAAGCTCTATGTTTTGTTGCCTGTCACGATTTCCAGTTTAACTAATAACTATATTGTAAACCTACCTGCTGAGTCCAGTTTTGTACTGACCTGTCAGTCCTGTGACAAAGTATCTTTATTTTCATTTAAAAGGCTTCATATGGCAAAATTAGTCCTCAGTTTAGATCACAAAATCCTTAACTGGTAACTGCCTGAATTACAACATGAAATAAGTATTTCTTAAACCACTGGAAGCTCCTCCTGTGCCGTCACTAACCACGTCTCCTCTAACAGTAGACCTGTGAGCAGCTGTGATGAACTGCCTATATGTAAGGACGTGTTTCATGAGGCCTGGAGCCTCCTGCAGTCAGTCTCAGCTTTCCTCATTTATGTGTTTAATTTAGTACATTTTACTAAACCAATAAATCTTCCCAGTCTTCCGTTGTTGTTGTGATTTATAGTTTCCTCAGTCCCGGCTAACTTCCTGTGAAGAAGCTTGTTTTTAGCCGACGGACGGCCCAGCCAGGCAGACACGGGAACTCTCACTACGCTCGCTCACATCTGTGACTAAAAATAGAATTACAATAGAAACACATTCAAGATCACAGCTGTGAATAAAGTACCGCAGGGTGAGTCTGTTTCAGCCACAGACGATGAGTCCTGCACACCATCGACCTGCTGAGGCTTTCACACCACTGACAACAGCTGCGTCACTTCAGGCACCTTTAATGTGAAGACGAGTGAGGGCTGCTTCACATCTGAGCTTAACTGTGATTGGTGGAAACACAAACATGTAATCCTCCACAGGAAGATGTTTAACAAGAAACAAGCACGTGTGAAACAGCAGCAACTAAACCAGTTTGTCCTTACAGGGAGGGGCTGCGACTGGTTGGGGTGAGGGGGAGGAAGACGGGAAAAAGACACGCTGTGGAAGAGAGCCGGAGCTTAACAACTAATGATTAAGTACTGAAAGGTGAGTGAAGAAGAAACACCCAGTCAGCAGCCTATGTCTATTGCAGCATAACTAAGGGAGGATTCAGGGTCACCTGGTCCAGCCCTAACTATATGCTTTAGCAAAAAGGAAAGTTTGAAGCCTAATCTTAAAAGTAGAGATAGTGTCTGTCTCCCGAATCCAAACTGGAAGCTGGTTCCACAGAAGAGGGGCCTGAAAACTGAAGGCTCTGCCTCCCATTCTACTTTTAAATACTCTAGGAACAACAAGTAGGCCTGCAGAGCGAGAGCGAAGTGCTCTAATAGGGTGATATGGTACTACAAGGTCATTAAGATAAGATGGGGCCTGATTATTTAAGACCTTGTATGTGAGGAGCAGGATTTTGAATTCTGGATTTAACAGGAAGCCAAAACAGGAGAAATCTGCTCTCTTTCTAGTCCCTGTCAGGACTCTTGCTGCAGCATTTTGGATCAGCTGAAGGCTTTTCAGGGAGTTTTTAGGACTTCCTGATAATAATGAATTTCAGTCGTCCAGCCTGGAAGTAATAAATGCATGAACTAGTTTTTCAGCGTCACTCTGAGACAGGATATTTCTAACTTTAGAGATGTTGCACAAATGGAAGAAAGCAGTCTTACATATTTGTTTAATATGTGCGTTGAAGGACATGTCCTGGTCAAAAATGACTCCAAGGTTCCTCACAGTGTTACTGGAGGCCAAGGTAATGCCATCCAGAGTAAGAATCTGCTTAGATACCATATTTCTAAGATTTTCAGGGCCGAGTACAATAACCTCAGTTTTATCAGAATTAAGGAGCAGAAAGTTAGCGGCCATCCAGGTCTTTATGTCTTTAAGACACTCCTGCAGTAGATTCCAGCACTGCTTCCATCTGTCACTGGATGACCTGATTGATAAAAGCAGGAAAAACTCACCAAGATTGAGACTCATGACACTCTTCAGGTGTGATACAACAAGTCGTTGTACAGTTCAGATTTTACCTTCTGGAATCAACAAGTCAAAAAGCAAAATGTTGAAAAAAAAATGTAAAAAATATTTAGGTGCAACCAAATTTTCATGAAAACTGATCCAGACAAACAGAAAGTGTCTATAAAGAGCAACAATACACAACTTACACAATGTGCTGTCACCGAAATCACTTCTTACATTAGTGGACTTAACTGACCTCCAGGTCAAGCTAGGACAATGATGGACGACTGACAGCTGCATTACTAAACTCTGCTACCAAACATGAAGCAGCAGAAAGGTTCTGATCCACAGGATGAGCCCCAGGAGCTCCGCTGACTCCTGAGATATGAAGCGTGGGTTTGTTAGGGTGTTGTAACAGCCGGCCGGTGGGAGGGGGGCTTTGACTGACAGGAACAGCCTCTGCCTCCTTTTGCTCAGCAGTTCTCAGTGACTCTGGGTCTGCAGATGAACTTGTTCTCTGCGATTCCTTTAAAACACGGAGGTTCAGGTGTGTGTGAACGAGCTGCCGTCACACACTCTTAGCCTGATCCGAATCAGAGGATCGGGGTGGGCAGCCTCACAGGCTGCAGGGTGCATAAATGGCTGCTATGTCCCATCATGCCCCCTGAGTGTTTCAGCAGCCAATGGGGAGCGTCGGTGCTCTGATGATGCAGGTTGTCCCCCTGGTATAAAACCCTAAAGCACCATCTGGGCCCTCCTGAGCAGTTTGAGCATTCCCAACCTCGCCTCGGGTGGAGGGATTGCGAGGAGGGAAAGCAAAACTACACGGCCTCTATTCTGTGTAGTTTTGTTTTTTTTTCGGGGGATATTTCGAGGCTCGACCGTTCTCATCTTGGATTTTTCTGGAAAAACCTTCCTGGATAAGGAGACCGTTGCTCGTTGCTCTGACGGGCTCCGTCCCATCATTTCAGGCACTCTTGTGATACAAGTGAGTACTCGCCGGTCCCCTAATGATGCTGACTCGTGGGGTTTACGGCGATTGGGGGGTCAGGGCTCGGGGTTTGGGTGAACTGTGTTTGGGTTTTGTGTTGGTTTGATGTTTTTCGGGTGCAGATTGCAGGTTGGCCGTATTCAGCGGGCTGTGCACTGACCCCAGGAAGGCCAAGAATAGCTGCTGATAGCATGAGAGTGGACTGTCAGCTGGGCGGCTGATGGCTTTTTAAGGGAATCAGCAGCAGGGCTATCACTTCACCCCCAGCTATGCGCCACATGCTGTCTGTCAATCAAGCTGCTCGAGGTTGGGGAGGGGGTGGTGGATATTTTTGGCCACTGCCTTATCTGTCGCTCAGCTCGATCTGTAAATATGGGCTGAGTTTATCAGGTCTGATCCTGTTTGGCTTATGATGAAGCGAAGTGTTCGTATTGATTGTTGATAAGGCTGCGATCAGCTGATCAGGTGCTGAAAGTTCACAGAGAAGGTGAGAAACTCACAACTCTGCCTGAAATCAGCTGACAGCGCTGAAAAAGAGCAGCAGCTGTCCCAGCGAGGCGTTCAGTGTCACAGTCAGAGAGCAGGAACAAATCAATCACCAGTAACTGATTATTGATCACCAGCTCCTTAAAGAGGTGTGAGAGTGGTTCAGCCTGTTTCCACAGACTTCAGATTCACAGCACTGGAGGATTTTTAGTCTTACTTTAAGGAGCTTCACACTCGTCCTCAGACTCCAGCTGTACGTTTTTACAGGGTTTCTGTGATCGAGCGTCCAAAGTCAATAAATGCGACGTCACACTCGAGATGTTAACCATGTGACAGTAAAGGTTTTTAAATAACTGTCTGACAGCAGAAACAGCTGCACGCTAGACTGCAGCCAGCGTTAAACCAGGATTACTGCAGCTGCATCGTGGACACAAAAGGAACGACGTTTAAACGGCTTCATGTTTGTTCGTGTCTTTGATCTGATCGTCACATTTACATGAAGTGTCATTAAGCTGCTTTTACAGGTGAAAGATTTCATTTATTCCTGTCATTATAAAGTTTCAATGGGAGTTGTCTTTGAATCAAAGCTTTATTGACTGTTTGATTCTCAGATAAGTATGGAAGCCTGTTTGTGCCAAAAAAGTATAAAAATGACTTTATGTTACCCGAGCTTTAGTCTCATAATATCAATAAACTGACTAATTTCATCACACTTATAATTATAACCAACACGTATGTGGTTCCATTTTATGATGAGAAAATTGAGGTTTTAAATTTTAAATTCATAAAATTGTAACAAAATAAAAAAACAAAACAAAAGATGTTTTTAATTAATTACAGCAGAAAAAGGTTTTGAAAGCACAACATCTTTGTTTCTGTTTTTTTACAAAAACCACAGCGAATAATCAGCAATCAGAACCATTTAATTTAACGCTTCAATAATATGTAACGTGGTTATTTGTCAGCAACATGAAACCAGAGTGCAGAGAGAAAGAAACTTGAAATAAGAACATGAGTGGAGACAAACGTGGAAAACCCACAGTGACTCGTCTGAAAAGATTTCACAGCAAAATCAAAGATTTGTGTTAATCAACATTTCAGTCCAAATTCTGCCACGAAGAGATTTTAGAACAAAATCAACATAAACACAGAATCATGTCTAAATAACAATGTGGTGGATAAAAACACTCCACAGCACATTTCACCTGTAAGAGTTTGTGTCACATGAAGTGGAAACAACAACGAGCTCCATTTATTTAAAGATCACGAACCTGTGAGAAGATCCACTGCATCACTGCACTGACTAATAACATGCGTCGTTGTTATTATTATTATTATTATTATGGTTTTTAGTCTGCAGTAAAATCAGGAACCAAAGAGTTAAAACAGCAGACTCAGCTTTAGATCTGATCTGATGATTGATGGTTATAATTACTTGGAAACAGCTAATTAAATGTTGAAGATGATGGATGAGTTTACAGTATGAAGCACCTTCAGCTGAATGCTGTTGTGATTGGTGCAGTATAAATAAAGTTGAATTGAATTTGTTTATATCAATGAAGACAAACTGGTCCACGTCCACACTGAGGTCACAGCAGAGTGGACATGATCAGTGTTTGGTCAGTGGACCTTTAACAGTTCACACCAGAACACATTTGAGTTTTTCATCAGACTTTGTATTTTCAGGGAAACTTTTATTTTTATTTAAAATCAGTTTGTTTTTTTTCCAGCATGCTAATCAGAGTCATGTTGTTCATCTCTGTGTCAGCGGCAGCATAAATGTTCTTTGTAAAAGTGCAAACCTGCAGCTGCTGCCGCCCGTCAGACATTTATAGCCGCCGTCCGTCTCACCTGTCTCACAGCTCTGAAACTCAAACCTCTGAGTGAAGCTGCAGAGACACTCAGCACATTTCCATCCAGCTGCTTTTAACTACATGTAAATGTGTCCCTCAACACAAACCCGAGTAGAGTTAATCACTTCATCAATTAGTCAAATGCATTCTGTGTTCCTACCAACCCAGGCAAGCACGACATGCAGGTGCAACTCTGAATGCAGAGCTCAGAGTTTGGGTCACCTCAGTGTAAAAACTGGATTTCTTCTTCTGCTCTGTTATTTACAGCAGCTTAGGATAAACTATACTATAGTTTATCCTAAGCTGTTTATCAGCACGGGGACTCCCAGTTTGTGCAGTGTTTAGATCATAATAGTCAGTTAATGCTGCCGCTGATGAGCCTTTGAAACCCTTTGTCAGCGTCTCTGATCGTTTGAACACTGCTGTGAGCGCGCAGCTTGTTCATCGGCGTGCTCACGCAGACGTTACTTAGTTATCATTAAACCAGTTTCACTGTTAAGAGGAAACAGCTCTGCCTGACTGTTACATCATCCTGCTGAAGGACTGATGAGGCGTCCTCACAGGAGCCACTTCAGCCACATGATTGGTCAGTGACTCTTTCACACAGTGGTTATCTAACACGTCTCCACCCAGAGTGTGCTGCATGAGTCGCAGTAGCTGCTGCGTTGGTGACCGTCTCGATGGGCTTTCACAGGTTCTCGTTTCCTTTGTGGTTCTAACGTGACAGAGCTTTCTCGCCCTGTGACACAGACGGGCTCTGTGGACCGATGGACGGAGCTGAAAGTGTACGAATGTTCTTCAACCTTTACAAACAACGACTAACATCAGAAAAGTGTTTAGTTATATGTTGGTTACATCTATAAACACAGGATCTACAGCACCATCCCAGCGGGGGATCAGCTACACCTTAGCATCGTCACAAAGCTATGACATCACAACAACACGGCCAATCAAAGGACTGAGAGAACAGAGAATATAACAGCCAACATACCCAAGTGCACGTCACAACCATTTACTCACCTGTGGACTGTCCAGTGTGAAGAATAAAGAAATCTAAAGGTTCAAACGAACAATCTGGATATGCACATGTAGGATATCAGAGACATTTGTACATTATCAGGAAAGAAATGTATCGCACAGCAAGAAAAGCAGCAGAAAAACACGTGTTTGTGATTTAAAGCAGAGAATGGAAGCTGATTGGTTCACAGAAGGCAGGCAGCGTGATGATGTCAGCATCAGCGTGGGAAACAGGAAGTGATATAAAGAATAGGATGAGCGATCAGCACTAGAAGAAAGAAATGACTGAATGAATCATTTATTTTATCTCAATGAAAGTAAAATTTGACAAAACGAGTATTTAACATAAAACTTGTTTTATTAGTTTTAAATTTGATCACAGACGATAAAGTTAAAATACGGATTCGAATGAACTAGTAAACACAGGTTGCAACAAATAACACAGCAGCTAAACTGAAACTGAATCATTGAAGTTTTCTGGAGAAACAACATTATGAGAAGAAGCATCCACAATGCTCCACCTCCGTCTGCAGCTTCGCCTCCATTTGCTGCTCCACCACCTCGGCTCCCCTGCTCCAGCCTGAGGCCGTCCGATTGGCTGTTCTGCTCTCACGTCTCTCTGTATTTGCTCAGATTAGGTTCCACTCTGGTTCCTCCGCTGCTCTGCACGCCCAGCTACACCCAGCTACACCCACAGTTCTCCACACCTTTTGACCCAGTCTGCATCCTCAGCCTGGCAGCACTTATTCATCTTTCATCTCACTGCATTGATCTCATGCAGCCATAAAATCTACATATTTGTAAAAACATGTTGTAATCTCGTTTTTGTTCTGCAATGACTGAAACAATAAAGTGAAAATCTGATGATTTTTTCATTCGTATTAAAAAGGCTGCAGGTTTGTTTGTATCTGCAGCTGTTAGTGGCTGCTCTACTCCTGCACTGGTTTAGTGGCAGCAGGTGGAGAATTAGCTCCACCTGCTGCTGATCTGTCAGTTTCTCTGCCAATGAAACCAAAGCCTGCTGCTGTTTTCTTTATTCTGGGCTGATCACCTCGTTTGTGTTCCAGGGTGCCGATCATCATGTCAACTCAAGCACCGACGTTCACGCAGCCGCTACAGAGCGTCGTGGCACTGGAGGGTAGTGCCGCCACGTTCGAGGCTCAAGTTAGTGGTAAGAGAAACGTGTGAAGGTGACGTTCTGCAGAGGACGATGTTTGACACTGTTGTATTTACACTGGAGATACAAAGAATGAGCAGATGTTTGACTTCATTAGTTAGAAAGGAGAGAAATAATGTTAAAGTTCATATAAAAACGATTAGACATTGAAGCCATGCAGCTGGTACAGAGGTTCACTGCAGACTGTGCAACATTCATATCTGGACTCTTTGTATTTATAGAGAGAAATGATGGACTTTTGAGGGGTAAATGTTCTCGTCACCTTTCTTTCTTTTCTCGTGGCGAGCGAGGCTTTTACAGGCTGCTGCTGCTTTCAGGGACATTCTGACATTTGGAAGGTTGGAGTCAATGCCTGTGATAAAAATAAAGCTGACAGAATTTCAGCAGATGCCTTTCCCTTTCAGGAACTCAGGGGAAGCATGTGCCAACCTTTACACAGACAGCTCCTGATTGGCTCTTCAGCCTTTCTCCCTCAGTTTTCTGTTTTAAGTCCAAACAGCCCAAACCACAGGGAGCTGAGATGGTTGCTGCATTGCTGCATTGCTGCTTGCTATTGGTGGCAGTGTTTGAGGGGAGAACAGTCTGCTTCTTGTTGCTTTGACCCAATGATTGCTTGACTTAAAAGGAGAAATGTTATTTGTTCTAAGTTTAACCAGTGAGTATAAGAGCAGCCGTCCTTTATTCTCCTGACAGACTGGTGCAATCAGTCACACAGGGACGGCTCTGCAGGTCGAGCTAGGTAACGATGAAGCCACATGAAGGAAACATATGAAGCATCTGAAGTTTAGTCTTGATTCTTTCATGATTAACCAGGTAAAACAAACCTGATAGTGACGTTTTTCTGCTCTGACTTCATCTCACTGACGGTCTCATGATTCAAAAGAATTACTCTTTGTTGTATTGATCTTAGTTCTTATTTCCTTTAAAGCTCTCGTATATTTTAAACAGTAATTGTATTTTTAAATCCATCCACCCAGTTTTAAAATGTTTAATTTCTACTTTGGCTAAATAAATGTCACATTTTCAGTTTCTATATTTTTAAACAATTTGAAAACCTCACGTGAACAACGTTAATCTTAACCCTTGTATGGTGTTCGGGTCTGTGAGACCCGTGTTCAGTTTTTTTCAAAAGAAAAATTAAACAATTAATTATTTTTTCACGTGTAAATGTGTTGTGTCTTTCCACTCACTCCACTTGATTATAACTGATTTATTTATAACATTTTATATAAAAGAAAAACGAGAAGCACATTAATTCATAAATGTGATCTAACAAAGGTAAAGGGAAAAAATTAACCATGTTTGCTGTTCATATGTCTTGTAATTGGGATGAAGTAAACATCTGTTGAGTAATTTAACATAAAATTGTTTGATAGTGTTAATTTGGAAAGCCAAACCTCTAGCGGGTCCACCAGACCCATGAACACTGGCTGAGTAACAAAAATACGAACACCACACAAGGGTTAAAGATGATTTTTTAAAATTTCAAATAAAAAGTTGAACATGAAAATTTGCTAAACTCTTAATAAAGTTTCTCCCACTCGTTCGTTGTTTGCTTTTCCTTTCACATTTTTGTTTCATGCATTAAAATCTCACTGTTTTACTGAAAGCACTGACTTTGTGGCTCAGGTCTTAGTCCCGGATCCTTTGGTGCATGTTGGTTTGTGGGTTCTCCGACAGAGTCTCATGCATCTCTTTGCAGGTTCTCCAGTTCCTGAGGTGAGCTGGTTCCGTGATGGCCAGGTACTTTCTGCTGCCGCTCTGCCCGGCGTTCAGATCTCGTTCAGCGATGGCCGCGCTGTTCTGAGGATTCCTGCTGTGACCGCCGCGCACAGCGGACGATTTTCTGTCAGAGCCACCAACGGTGCTGGACAAGCCACAAGCACAGCCGAACTCTTAGTTACAGGTGAGCTCACAGGAGGACTTCAGGTGGTAAACTAAAGCACTTCTGCTCCATGAACATTTCCCATACATTTCTTTTCAAAAAAGCTGCTACGAACAGCAAATTTTAATGTTAAAATTTTGATATTTATAGATTGTAAAGAAGGTTCGTTTGTGTGTATGTTATCATTTAGCTGCCATCCAGAGTTCTCAAAGGATAAACAGCAGTGGATAACGGTCGGCAGACGTTGCAACATCATGAGCTGATTTTTAACACCCGTCTGAATCAATCTGAAAACAAACTGTTATTAAAAATTCAGTTTTCTAAAAAGTCATAAACTGGCTTTATTGTATTGTGTACTTGCACAACGAAATGCTGAGATCAGCTGATATAAAGCGACCTGTACCTCCTTCTCCAGCGGAGACGGTGCCTCCGAGCTTCATTCAGAGACTACAGAGCTCCACGGTGAGACAGGGCAGCCAAGTGAGGCTGGATGTTCGAGTCACCGGGATCCCCGCACCTGGGGTAAAATTCTACAGAGAAGGGGCCGAGATCCAGAGCTCCACCGACTTCAGAATCATCCAGGACGGAGACCTGCACAGCTTGCTGATTGCTGAAGCCTTCCCAGAGGATTCTGGGACGTATTCGGTGACAGCCACCAACAGCAGCGGACGGGCCACCTCCACAGCCGAACTGCTGGTTCAGGGTAAGAACCGTTCGTCTCTGCTTCTTCTTCCTTTTGGAAATTGCTTTGATGACAAACACAGACTAAAGAAGAGACATTTTCAGGCGAAGAAGCCGTTCCAGCAAAGAAAACAAAGACCTTGATTTCAACCGCCCAGATTTCAGAGACCCGACACACCAGAGTAGAAAAGGTAAAAAAATCCTCAAAGAAATGTGTGATTGTCTAATTTACTCATACTTAATCTAACTTCATGAACTCTGCTGTCCGTCCCCAGAAGATGGAGGCCAGTTTCCAGGCCTCCGGCATGATGGAGATGCAGATAGAGGGCGCAGAGCTGGCTCACAAGACTCCACCCAGAGTTCCTCCGAAACCCACATCCAAGTCACCAACTCAGCCATCACTGGTGGCCAAGGTGACCGGGGGACGGCAACAGTCACCGTCACCTGTCAGACATGTGAAGGCACCCACACCCACGCCTGTCAGGTGGGTAGAGTCTGGGAGGGGTTAACGCTGGCTGTTATTTGCCTGTTCGTAACTTTTACATGGAAAGAAGTCAGCGAATGATTACTGACAGAGATCTGCTGATCGGTGTGCTCGATGAATAAACCAATCAGGGCAGCTGTGTAACTCTCAGTCTCACCTTTCAGGTCAGTCCCGTCCCCTATCGCCGCACACAAGCAGGCCGCCGGTGACGTCCTCCCGCCCTGGAAGCAGGAAGACTACGTGGCCGAGGGCAGGACTGTCACTCAGTTGGTCCGGGAGCAGCAGGTCACCATGGTCAAACAGGTGAGCATCCCTGGGGTAGCACGACATATTCCCATCCACAGATAAACCATTCCAGGAGACACTTCACAAAAAATGGGCATTTTCAATGAAACGTGAGGTTCCCAGATTCCTGAGTCTCTCTTCTTCGGGTTCAGCTGCGTTACCATCAGCTCCCTGACTGTGTTTGGTCATGAAATATTACTTCCACTTCTCTATTTGTGACGTTCATGTCTCACAGCCTCTGCGGTGGATTTCAGGTCCTTGTTTAAAGGTATTACGGGTTTACTCTGAAAAACAGAACCTGCCATCCACCTTCCTCCACCTTACAGCCAATTCTTTTCCATGTGTTCCTTGTTCTAATGTGCCTGATTGTTTGCCCTGCTCATATTCACATCATTGGCACAGCATCACACAGCAGTCTGAACATTTGGTCTTTGAAATGAAAAGAGAATCATCTGAAGCTGATGATGTGCGTTTTACCCTGGATGATGCGGGATGGGACATCTCTGCAGGCTGGGCGGGACTGTAACTTCTTTCAGCCCCACACAGATTCATACGGTGAGGGGGGGAAACATGTGAAAACTTTAAAAACCAAGAAGCAACATCTTTACTCACAGAAGAGGAGGAAAATACACCCTCAAAGAGCTGTGTCCTCTGTGTTTAACCACAAGACTTTAGCACCTGTTTCCAGTAGAGAGCAAGCCTGGCTCGGTTCAGCTGACGATGCTGTCAGAATACCTGATGTCCTCCTGATACCACATCCTCCTGATGTGTCTGAGATCGCTTCAGCTTAACTCAGAAGACTGGTCTTATTGTTTTATTGTGTCGCCACAAGATTGTGGCTGTCACTTTTCTTTGCAGCTAATGTTACTGCTGATAAACAGATGAACCAATGTGCTGTCTTCAAATGACTTTAAACCTTTAAGCTTGCATGGGTCAGGCTTTAAAAACCGTAGTACCTTATTATCTCATTTGGATAACTGGAGTCAGGCTAAGCTTTGCAAAAAACTGGAAGCTGGGGAGACAGCTAATCTGGCTCTGCCCGTAATCCAAGATCTACCTCTGAAGCTCATTCAATAGCCTCTTGTTAATTGGACAACCATCCAGCCCAGAGTTTTAGACCTGCGTTAACAGAGTCGAGCTAACTAAACCCAGTCTATATGCAAATTTGGGCAAATCAGGTCTTTCTCCCAGCTCTGTATTTTTCTTTGAACGAGGGGATGGAGATACTTACCAAAGTGATTTCCCCCATGAACCTGTCTGTTTCTGTACCGCTGTGCTGGATGTCCTGAGATCTGTTGTGTCTCCAGGCTGAGGGAGGGAAAAGAGCGGGGGCAGTGGCCACCGTGGTGGCTGCCGTCGACCTCGCTCGTGTCCGTCAGCCCGCGCTTGTCGAGGGGGGTCGAGCTGAAGAGGACGAGGCTGTAGAGGTGGATTTAAGGCAGCAGGCCGCCGCCGTGGCTGCTGATCAAAGCTATCAAGCTGCTTTGACATCAACAAGAGTGCAAAGTGGGCACATGCTTTCTACTGCTCAGGAGTTTACACGTGAAGCAGCCGTGCTGCAGCCTCAGGTTAGCTAGGCCTCCAGTGAACAACGATTACCAAGAGATTTGACCAAACTATCAGCAGATTTGAATTCTTTCATTTATTTTTTATTTTGGTATTTTACTCACCCCCCCCCCCCCCCCTTTTGCTGAAGAGAACAGATGGATGTTTTATTTTCCATCAAAATGAAAAAGTTACAAAAAACGATTTTGCGCAATTACAAAAACCAGTATCTCAGAAAAAACAGTCCATATGTCCGATCAATTATTTAATTATGTATGAAATGTGTCTTTGGGCAAAGTCTTGTTTGAATTATTTGGTGAATAATGACCGATTCATCTCTGTGAAGTCACCTCGTAGTCAACCATAAAAAAGACATTTGAAGCACAAATCTCTTGATAATCACATAGTCATCTTCTAAATATACTGTGCAGATTTTAAAATCCTCCTGAGGTTCTGACTCTTGTTGTGTTGGTTGCTCCAGATTCAGGGAGTGACAGAAATCTCCTCCCGTGTGGACACTGGTCTCACCCCGTCTCCAGTTCCACAATTCACAGTTTCTAAAGTGTCTGTCCCAAAACTCGAGTCTAGCAGTGAGGTAAGACAGGAAGCATCAGGCGAGCTGTGGACAATAATAATGTGATAGGACCGTTGCTGTGGCAAGCTTATTGAACTGCTGATTGGCTGAAATGCAAACTTGTGTTTTAATGCAGTGTCAACGTGATCAAATATTATCCATAAAATAACTAAATCAATCCTCCCTTAACCTTCTTTTGCTTCATCCCCTTATTTAATAAACTTGATTGATCCGGTACCTCCTATTAATCCATCTTAATTAAAGTCCCTCTATCTGACCCTGTTGTAGCATTAATCAGACTAACGTGCCATAGCTCCTCTGTGCTGTGGTTTAACACACATTTCAGAAAAGACTCAACAGTATTTTCTTGATGACGGTGTGGCTCTTCCTCTTTGGGTCGGTCAGGTTTCCATCGCCGGCTCGGCCATGGCCACTCTGCACAAAGAGTTATCCTCGTCTTCTGCCACTATTCGAAAGATCATCAAGCCTGTCAAGTCTCCCAGTCCATCTCGCAGAGTAGCAGAGACCAGAGAGATGCTGGAGACCATCCCACCACCGTTCAAACACTTCACTGACAAATATCAGAGTCGTTCTGGCTCTGAGTTACAGACCGGGGTGGTGTACTCAGGCAGAATGGAGAGAATGTATGAGGACTGGGGAGCCCAGGTTTGTAATGTAGCTCAGAGAGCTGGATCTAAACAGGACAAGAAAACCTGATGTGGATGTAAGATCCATACGATCCGTTAGCTGCCAACAGCTGGCCAAAGTATCGTGAATTTTATCAGATATTTTCAAGATGATAAATCCTAATATGAGCTGCCTGATTAGATCCTCGTTCACAGGCTGAAAAACCTCTATTTGAACCCTGGAAAAATCTGATTGAAAGGGCAGAAGTTACCCCGGGTTTGATTGCTCCTGATTTCATTGACATTTTCACCATTTATTAGACTAAAGAACAGCTGAAGAAAAATGTTGTGGGACACAGGTCATACTTCTGGTTTTTACAACTTCTCTTGATGGTTTTCTTGATTTCTGTGAAAATCCATAATTAAATATCCCTGTAATAAACTTTAACTGGCTTCTCCATGCTATTGACAACCTCATTCTCACCTCTGCAGCCCATCCAGCCTTCCCTGTGCTGTGTTATCTCTTCTTCATCGTGTGTGTGTGTGTGTGTGTTGGTTGTTTCTGTCACTGTGTCCATGTGTGGGATCTATAGCTGCTGTAGTTTTTCAGCCTACTGTTCCCAACATACCTGTGAATATCTTACAGGTGGTGGAGGCAGCTGCGGTGCCTTCTGCCGGTGGTGCCGTGGTCCCTCCCACGCTGATTTCTGTGAGTGGACTGCCCTCAGATCACATGTCCACACTGTTTAGGGAAAGAGACCTTTTTGTAAAGATGTTGTGATATTTTTTTGTGCAGGGATTGAAGAACACAAATGTGATCGAGGGCGAGTCTGTGACCCTGGAGTGCCAGATCAGCGGTCATCCCACCCCCATCATTATGTGGTTCAGAGAGGACTACAAGATTGAGAGCTCCATTGATTTCCAGATCACCTACGAGAACGGATTTGCCAGACTGGTGATCCGTGAAGCATTCGCTGAAGACAGCGGCCGCTTCACCTGCACAGCTACCAATGAGGCGGGAACTGTCAGCACGTCCTGTTACCTGCTTGTCCAGGGTCAGTGCAAGCAGAATGCAGTGTCACTCACACAGGAAGTAATCTTCTTTCGTTGTATGCTGTAACATACTGAGGAACGATGCCCAGCCTGTCCAGCAGATATCAAGATAACTTTAATTTGAGCCCTTTTTTCCTCAGAGACTGTTCACATGCATGCACCGAGCCCTGTTCTTGATACACACAGGACCTGAAATCTTCCCGTAACATAATCTCATCCCTTCCCGTCTATACGTTCTGCATATTCATTTACAGTGATGAACTGTCTTTCCCCACCAGTGTCTGAAGACATCGAGAGCAGAGAGGAGATTGCTGTTGTTACAGAACATGTTGAAACTGCTCAGTGAGTCACTTAAAGTTTGAGTTACATTCATCAAATCGTCAAACATATTGGTTTCTTATTTTACATCACTGAAACGGATGACAAGCGGTACAGGTTGGGCCTGAAAATAAGGAAACATTTTTATTTCCAGATTAAGAGAAACCAGAGAGGAGACCCAGGTGAGCATGGTGGAGTCAGAGTCTGCTGCTGCTGCTCCCTTCTTTATCAAGAAACCCACCATCCAGAAGCTAGTGGAGGGTGGAAGTGTTGTGTTTGAATGTCAGATTGGGGGAAGCCCCAAACCACACATCATCTGGAAGAAGAGTGGTGTCCCACTCACTACCGGATACAGGTGAGTAATACCTGTGCTCAGGTTTTCACTGTCCTTACATGGAGACCTTTGTGGTTTACGTGGTCTATATTTTATCTGATGTGTGAATGCAGCTGTAAAACAAATCCCCTAACTCAAGGACTAAAGTGCTAAAGTCATCACTGTAAAACTGAAAGAAATGAGCACGTCATTAAAGCTCAGCTTTCTACCAGAATACACAACTCGGACCCCCCCTCTCAAACCCAACTGACACCAATCCTAAAGTCCCTGTCAGATATAACACAAGATTAGCAAAACCAAACATCTGGCTCATGGTTCAGCTAAGGTCAACTGTCTCACCCAGTAATAACCCGCCAGCACATTAAGCTACAGCTCTCATTCCTGCTTCTGCATTGAGATCAATCCCTTTAGACCTGAATCCATGATTTTATCTTCAGTGGGCTCTTAGGACAAACGGTGCTGGTAAGACGAAGTATGGGTAAAATATTAGGACACTGTTTGCTCCTATTGTGATGGATCACGCTGCAGCCTTCAGGGGCCTGTAATGCTCATTCCCCTCCATCAGATACAAAGTTGCCTACAAGAAGGAGACTGGAGAGTGCCGTTTAGAGATCTCCATGACCTTCGCCGATGATGCTGGAGAATATGCCGTGTTTGCCAAGAATAAGCTTGGAGAAGTCTCTGCCTCCGCCAGTCTGCTGGAGGAAGGTCAGTAAATACTGCAGTGATGGCAAACTGCTGTCCTAAAGATATAACACAAGGAGCAGAGATAAAGGGACTGTCAGTGGATATTATGCCATACAGCTCATGCAGAAACAGTTAGCTTGCACAGTCCTTAAAGAGATGATGGAAACTACTTGAACTCATAGGATTGTTTTTTTATTTTGTTTTTTTGCCAACAGAGGAATATGAAGCCTACATGAAGAAACAGGAAGCAATGTTTAAGACTGAAGTGACATCCATTGTGCAAGAGCCCAAGGTGGGAGATATTCCCCCTGTCACTGTCACAACAATGGAGAAGATAACCACCACCATTATCTCTGGACAGGTAGAGAATCCTTAGCCATAGCTGTGATCATAATACAAAACCAAACCATGTCAAAGCCATCATAAGGAACTAGATGGTTATGTGGAGTGTTTGTCACTATCCTGTGTAATAGTTTATATGAGCTCCAGTGAGCTGTTTACAAAAAAAAGTCTGGAGATGCCACAAAGTCTCAAATCCTGATAGAACAGTTAGTATGTGGACACCTCTATCATTTTGTGTTCTGTATATCACACCATGACGATGAGTACAGCACAAACTTAAGTAAGCACTTTACCTTGAGATTAAGTAAAAAGCTGGGGTCCCTGTAGCTGCAGATACTGCTGTTGTCAGTAGTAACTGCAGTTGATATTGTAATTCAGAGCGCACTGTCAGACTAAGCTCTCATTAGAATTGGTGTCGTTGAATTTCCCACACTACCTGGTTGACTATCCAGCTTTAGTAAAACCTTTATGTGCCTTTAAATATGCGTTAAATATGCACGTTATTGGGAAGAAAATATAATAACCGATGCATAAAAATTAAAGCAAGCATAAAAATCATCATTTTCGTAATCCACAAAGACCTTTCCTTGGGCTTGACTATGATCAGGACCCACTGACTGACATCATATCATATCTGCAGGAATTCCATCTGTCTGTCATCGAGCAGAGGATCATCCAGGAGATTGAGTTTACCATTATGAAAATCAGCTACAGAGAGATTGTGACAGAGGACGGAGAGTTGATGGTGACTGCCACTGAGACTGAGGCGGTACAGCCAGCCTTTGACACGCCAGTGAAAAGTTACAGGATCATGGAGGGGATGAGCGCTACTTTCCACTGCAAGATGTCTGGAATGCCGCTCCCCAAGGTGCTGAATCTTTAAGAAATATGTTACAATTAGAGAAATGGTCTTGAAATACATAAAAAGCTCTAAAGTAGAGTTCACATGATTTTACGATCACGTCGTATCTCTTGGCAGATTGCTTGGTTCAAAGATGGCCAGCGTATTAGGGCTGGAGACCATTACCAAATAGAGGTTCTTCAGGATGGACGGGCCAGCCTTCGCCTGCCTGTAGTGATACCCGAAGATGAAGGCGTGTACACCGCGTTTGCCACCAACATGAAGGGTAATGCTGTCAGTTCTGGGAAGCTCTATGTGGAGCCATGTGAAACAGTAACACCTCAGCAATTCACACCACAGCCAGCAGTGCAGAGGATCAGGTAAAGAAATTCACAAAGCTTGAAACAGGGAACACTGACGATAAGGGAAATGACAAGGATTAATACTTTCTCAGGTCCACATCTCCTCGCTCTCTGAGCCGCTCACCTGGCCGTTCTCCCAGTCGTTCACCTGGACGTTCTCCTGCTCGTCGGCTAGATGAGACTGATGAGGCTCAGCTAGAAAGACTCTACAAGCCTGTTTTTGTCATGAAGCCTTCATCATATAAATGTTCTGAGGGACAAACTGCCAGATTTGACCTGAAGGTTGTGGGCAGACCAATGCCTGAGACGTACTGGTTCCACAATGGTGAGTACAACAAAGAGGAAATCTTCAAAAAGAGTTTGAACAAAATTTGTTGATCTCACAAGCCATTCAACTATCTTCCTCTCAGGGCAACAAATAGTTAGTGACCACACCCACAAGATCGTGGTTAAAGAGGATGGCACTCAGTCCCTGATCATCGTCCCAGCTTTGCCACAAGACTCCGGGGAGTGGACTGTGGTGGCTCAGAACAGAGCTGGACGCACATCCATCTCCGTCACTCTCGCTGTTGATGGTAAGAATGCAACTTCATATTCTCTCAACTTGAAGTTTCTTCCAGAAGGAAAAATGTTGGGGGATTGGCTTACTTTCATTTAACTTTCTTTTTCAGCCAAGGAAACCCTGGTGCGTCCACAGTTCACTGAGAAACTGAGGAACATCAGTGTGAAGCAGGGCACTCTGGTTGAACTGGCTGTCAAAGCCATTGGAAACCCACTGCCTGATATCGTCTGGCTGAAGAACAGCGACATCATCACCCCACACAAGCACCCAAGCATCAAGTATGTTCTGTGACTTTAGCATTAAATGTAGATCACATCTGTTTGCTTCAATGACCTTGATGCAGCAACACACTTTTTTTAATGAAACGCTGCGTTTGTGGAGAGTAAAATTATTCCTCAAAGCAACCTGAGATTTTCATTTCAATTAAAAACACGTGTCAAATGTCAATTCTTCTCTAAAATGAGAATTTGATTTTCCAGGATTGAAGGAACCAGAGGAGAGGCTAAATTCCAGATCCCATCAGCAGCTGGCTCAGACAGCGCCTGGTACACCGCTACAGCCATCAATAAGGCTGGCAGAGATACCACTCGCTGCAGAGTCAATGTTGAGGTGGAATATGCTGAGCCTGAACCAGAGAGGAAACTCATCATTCCCAAAGGAACATACAAAGCCAAAGAGATCGCTCCTCCAGAGGTGGAGCCGCTTCATCTGCGATATGGTCAAGAGCAATGGGAGGAAGGCGACCTTTATGACAAAGAGAAGCAGCAAAAACCACAGTTCAAGAAGAAGCTGACATCTGTCCGCATGAAGCGCTTCGGTCCAGCTCATTTTGAGTGCAGACTGACTCCTATTGGTGACCCCACAATGGTGGTGGAGTGGCTGCACGACGGCAAACCTCTGGCTGCTGCTAACAGATTGCGCATGGTGAATGAATTTGGTTACTGCAGCCTGGACTATGAAGCCGCTTATGCTAGAGACAGCGGCGTCATTACCTGCAGAGCGACCAACAAGTACGGAGTTGACCAAACCTCAGCCACCCTGATTGTCAAGGATGAGAAGGGCCTTGTTGAGGAAACACAACTTCCTGAAGGAAGGAAAGGTGCCCACCGGATCGATGAGATAGAGCGTTTGGCTCATGAAGGTGGACCTTATGGAGTCACTGCTGAAGAAGAAACAGAGAAGATGAAGCCTGAGATCGTCCTTGTTCCAGAACCAATCAGAGTTTTAGAGGGTGAAACGGCTCGATTCCGCTGCAGAGTGACCGGATATCCAGCACCAAAAGTTAACTGGTACCTCAATGGACAACTTATCCGCAAAAGCAAGAGATACAGACTTCGCTATGATGGCATTTACTACTTGGAGATAACTGACATCAAATCATATGATTCAGGGGAGGTCAGAGTCGTAGCAGATAACAATCTGGGCTCCGTTGAGCACGTCGTAAAACTGGAGATTCAGCAGAAGGAGGACTTCAGAACTCATCTGCGCCGTGCCCCTGAGGCTAAGCCAGCCGAGGCTGCACCTGAACCTGGAAAAGTACCATTTGAGGTAGTTAAAGCTGAAAAGCCTACAGAGGACACTCAGCTGAAAGAGGTCGTCAAACTCAAGAAGGCCCAGAGAATTGTCCATGAGAAAGCCAGTGAGGAGTCAGAGGAGCTGAGGAGTAAGTTCAAGCGCAGGACAGAGGAAGGCTATTACGAGTCTATTACCGCAGTGGATCTCAAGTCTCGCAAGAGAGATGACTCCTATGAGGACCTGCTGAGGAAGACAAAGGAGGAACTGCTTCATCGTGCCAAGGAGAAGGAGGAGGCTGAGAAGAAGAAGGAGGAAGAGCGTCGCCAAGTTACTGCCAAGCCTCTAAAACCAGAGAGGGTCAAGCTCTCACCCAGCATGGAAGCGCCAAAGATCCTTGAGCGTATCACCAGCCAGACAGTCGCACAGGGTGACGAAGTCAAGTTTAGAGTCAGAGTTGTCGGCAGACCAGAACCTGAGTGTCAGTGGTTCAAGAATGGAGTTCAGCTGGAGAAGTCTGACCGTGTCTACTGGTACTGGCCTGAGGACCATGTTTGTGAACTGGTGATCAGGGATGTCACAGCAGAGGATTCTGCCAGTGTCATGGTTAAAGCTTCCAGTACTGCTGGAGAGACTTCAAGCCACGCTTTCCTGTTGGTGCAAGGTAACACAGACCTTGATCATGTACATATAATTCTGATTTTAAATCCTGCATTCTCTGAATAATGCTCTGGTGTCATTTCTGCAGCAAAACAAGTCATTAACTTCACTCAGAAGTTGGAGGACGTCAGTGCCAAGGAGAAGGATACCGTGGCTACCTTTGAGTGTGAAACCAACGAGCCTTTTGTGAAGGTCAAATGGCTGAAGAATAATGTGGAGATCTTCTCTGGAGACAAATACAGAATGCACTCTGACAGAAAGGTTCACTTCCTGTCTGTGCTGATGATCGAAATGAGGGATGATACTGAATATACATGCGTTGCTGTAGATGATGATACTGTCAGGACAGCCGCCAAGCTTAATGTTGAAGGTGGGTTAGGTTCTTCATATTCTGTTCTTTAGGTAATGAAATCAACACAGTTCATTATTAATTATTCCAAATACATAAACGGTTACCTCAAGGTACTTTATATGGTATATGTATACTTTGTGACTGACTTGAACTCTTGTTGTATTATGTGACCAACAGGAGCTCCTCTGGAGCTGTTAAAGCAGCTGGAGAGCACCGAGGTGCCCGAGACTTACTCCGGAGAGTTTGAATGTATTGTCTCTCGTGAAGATGCCGAAGGCAGCTGGTACTTTGGAGATAATCTGCTGACTCCTGGCAGTAAATACGTCATCTCTTCCCGCCGTGGAAGACACACTCTCTCTGTGAAAGACGTCAAGAAGGAAGACCAGGGAGAATATACCTTCAAAGTGGGCGAGTTTAAGACAAGTGCCTCTCTGAAGATGAAATGTGAGTTGCTGTTCCCATGGCACTGAATTGGATATGGATGATGAAACTCTATGGACGGAAGTTATTGTATTTAAGAAGTAAAGTTAAGTCTACTGTTCAGACTACAACAAAATGTGTTACTGGAATTCGGGCTAACCATCTTCTCCTGTTTGTGGACAAACCATTTCTACTTTCCCTCAAAATACATTTAAATCTAAATGATAGGTTTTTATAAAAGTGCCACAAACCCAATTCCAAAAACGATGCGGTGCTGTGTAAAATAAAGATTAAAAACAGAATACTTTGATTTGCAAATCTTATAAAGCCATGTTTTATTCATAATCAAACATAGAAAACATATCAAGGGGTGAGAAAGGTGAGAAAATTAACCATTTTAATACAAGTTTATTTTGTATTTAAGGCAGCGACATGTCTCAAAAACAGGCCCACGTGTCCCATGGTGTAGCATCGCTGGGTGTTTGGTTGCAGTTTAGCAGCGTGCTGCTCAAACACGAAGGCCTTCCTGAAACACACGTCTGCATGGAGCAGATGTTTCTCTAAAGCCCGTTCATACCTTTCAGCCCCGATGGGGCCTTTCCAGACACACACACACACACCGCATGTAGAGTGCTAACAGTGACATTTTTATTTTTTAGTGCGTCCAGTGACCTTGATGCAGCCTTTGTCTGACATGACCGTCTGCGAGGGTGACATCGCTCAGCTTGAGGTCAAGTTCTCCCAGGAGAATGTTGAAGGAACCTGGATGAAGAAGGGGCAGCCCATCACAGCCTCCAGCCGTGTGCACATAGTTATTGACAAACAAATTCACAAACTCCTTATAGAAGATACAACCAAGGACGACTTTGGAATGTATTCCTTCGAGGTTCCTGATCATGGAATTTCAACCTCTGCAAAGCTGGTCATTCAGAGTGGGTCGCCTCAGATGCACATGTTTTTCTTTAATGACTTTGTTTCAAAATAAAATCCTCTTATCAAAATATCTCATCTTGCAGCTATTGGCATCCTGATCCCACTGAAGGACAGTCATGCAATTGAGGGTACAAAGGTCGTCCTAGAGGCAAAGATCTCTGCTCAGGACATCAGCTCAGTCAAATGGTACCACAATGACAACCTGCTGACAGCCAGTGAGCGAATCCAGATGGTGGCAAAGGGAGCCAAGCAGCGCCTGGTTTTCACCAGAACATACGCCTCAGATGAAGGACACTACAAACTGGTGGTTGGCCGAGCTGACACCAGCTGCAGATTTACTGTTGAGCGTAAGTTACGCCATTATGAGGTCCAAGCATGTTTTGGAGTTTTACTACTGTAGTTGCATCATCTATATTCTGGAATGACCTGGAAGCTAAGTTTATGAATCTTTAGGTCTAATATGAAGCCTTGAGGCGACTTTTGTTGTGATTTGGCGCTATATAAATAAAATTGAATTGAATTGAATTAATAAACCATGACCACCACTAGTCACATGAAGTTTACCTGTAGAAAACTATTAAGAAACTACATGAGAGTCATGACATGAGAGTCTTTGCTTTCAGCTTCCAGAAATCTTATTCAAGCTGATTACCTGAAAAGGGTCACTAATATTTGCTTGGCAACATAAGAAATCATTTTTCTGCTAAACACAATAGTTTCAGATTCTGCTGAATGCAACTTTCTTTAAAATCATATGAAAACTTGCACCTGCTTCTTACATATATAGTCTGACATGAACATCATGACCTCGTGGCATTTACAAAACTAGAACCAAGCCCATGTGGTACATCTTTATTATTGAATGAGTCAGATGGATAATTGTGAGAAAGTGAAAGCAAGTCATCTACATTTCCTACAATTTTATTGTACATGTACAATAAAAATGGCTATTCTATTCTATTCTATTCTATTCTATTCTACTGTACATCAGTTCGAGGCTTAACTATCGTTCTGTCTCAACAGCTGTCCAGATTGTGACACCAATGAAAGACAAACAGTGCTCCGAGTCTGAAAATGTCACCTTCGAGGTTGAGGTCTCTCACCCAGGCATTGACGCTTTCTGGACCTTTAAGAGGCAGCCGATTAAAGCTGGTCCCCAGTACAAGATGGAGTCCAAGGACAAGAGGCATAGGCTCACGGTCATGAATGCAATGAAGGATGAAGAGGGCGAGTACATGTTTGCTGCTGGTGAGAAGATGTGCAGTGCTTCACTCACCGTAACAGGTACGCAAAACACACTTTTATTGCACGCTTAAATAGTTCAGAGAAGATTTCTGTCACCAGGCAGTAACGGGCTATCTCCTGTCCCCAGGTGGTGCCATTAAGAAGCCCCTGCATGATTTGGTGGTAGCTGACTCCCAGACCGCTGTGCTGCAGTGTGAAGTTGCTAACCCATCCGCAGAGGGCAAGTGGCTAAAAGACGGTCAGCCTGTTGACTTCAACGAGAACGTGCTGAGCGAGGTGGACGGTGCTGTCAGACGCCTCGTTATCATCATCACGAAGGCCACTGACGTTGGAGAGTACACTTACCAGGTCGCCACCTCCAAGACCTCAGCCAACCTGAAAGTCGAGGGTAGGTCCAGCTTTCCATGGAAACACACACTTAGATCATACAGCCAATGCGGATCAGGAGGTTAGGAAGCTGAATTTGTTTGTGAAGGTGCTTAAAGTGTTTCTTTGAACACGGGCTGCCTCTTTATTCATGTCCAGTCCAGTTTTCAGAGCAATTATATTTTTCTGTCTTATGTCTCTTCACTGATATGAAGAAATATTGTGTCAACACATAACGGACAACTGAGCAAAGAACCAGTTTGCAGTTGTTACCAGCAACCTGCCATAAAAACACACCATTTGTTGACTCTATGAGTGCAGACATTTCTTCCAAATGATCGAATGATACTTTAAATTTAAATCATTTAGATCTAGTCTGCTGACTCGTACCTGCCCACAGCAACAACCACAAAGACCCACCCTGTGAGAGTTTAATTCTGGACTCAGCCACTTCACTTGTTTAACTGTTACCTTGCCTCTTGGTGTTTTTCTCCACAGCTGTCAAAGTCAAGAAGACCCTGAAGAACCTGAATGTAGTCCAGACTCAAGAAGCCACGTTCAGCCTTGAACTGACCCATGAGGATGTAAGGGGAGCACAGTGGATCAAGAATGGCGTTGAGATCCAGCCCAGTGATAAATATGAAATCAGTATTGAAGGCACACTTCACACATTGAAGGTCAAGAACTGCAGCACACAGGATGAGTCTGTTTACTCCTTCAAACTGGGAAAACTGTCTGCAAGTGCCAGACTCAATGTGGAAAGTAAGTATTAACTATTGATTTTGGAATAAAACAAAAAGCTTTTTGGCTCTGTGCCTACAAGGTTGGGAAATTTACCTAAACCACATGGGACCTCTAGATTCCTAAAGCTTTTTACCAACAGAAGACCTCTTTTCCCACAGCCATTAAGATCCTGAAGAAGCCAAAGGATGTGACAGCACTGTCAGGAGCAACAATTGTATTTGAAGTTGGCATCTCAGAGGATGACATCCCAGTGAAATGGATGTTCGATGACAAAGACCTGGTGTCTGACGAGCGCTACAGCATCATCTCTGAGAAGAAGAACCACAAGCTGATTGTCCACGACGTGGACGACAGCGTGCAGGGCAACTACATTGCTGTCATAGGACACCTGCAGTGCAGCGCTCACCTCGTTGTTGAGTGTAAGCATTATCACATCAGTAGTTTTTGGACGTAAAAAATGCTAAAACACAGGCCAAGGTCACGTTAGGACTAAACATGTCTGTATTTTACTCTTAGCTCTACGTGTCACAAGGCCCATGAAAAACGTGGAGGTCACAGAGACTCAGGTGGCCACATTTGAATGTGAAGTTTCTCACTTCAATGTCCCGTCCACCTGGCTGAGGGATGGTGTGGAGATTGAGATGAGTGAGAAGTTCAGGATTGTGGTTCAAGGGAAACTCCATCAGCTGAAGATCATGAACACCAGCAATGAAGACTCTGCAGAGTACACTTTTGTCTGTGGGAACGACCGCGTCTCTGCAACGCTAACCGTTAACCGTAAGTTACCATCAGTGAAACTTAAACCTTTAGATTTACAATGTATCAATTCATCAATTCGTTCTGCAGAGACGTTTCACATGTTGCCAAATCATTACAATGTATCAAACCATGAAATGTCTTTAAGTAACTTTAATTGGATTCTTTCATTTCTCCTCTGAGTTGGAAATCTAAACATTTTTGTTACTAAAAAAAAGAAATAATTAGCACATTCAGATTTTCTAATTGGATATTTATGACAAATTATAAGTATAAGCCACTTTCAATTACTTTGTAGTTTAAGGTGAAAACTCTAACCGATCAGATGTTTGCACTAAGGATGAAGTTACAGATTAAAAAACACAATTTTGTATTCTTCACTGTACTTAAACATCTCTTCAAACCTATTATCACTTTGCTGTTTTCCAGCTATTCTGATCACAACGATGCTTGAAGACCTGAACGCTCAGGAGAAGGACACGGTCACATTTGAGGTGAATGTGAACTACGAGGGAATAACGTACAAGTGGCTGAAGAACGGCGTGGAGATCCGCTCTACGGACCGCTGCCAGGCTCGCTGCAAACAGCTCACTCACTCTCTGAGCATCAGGAATGTTCACTTTGGAGACAGTGCCGAGTACACCTTCATGGCTGGCTCTGCAGTCACTTCAGCTAAACTTCACGTTGAGGGTAAAATGCTTTGATTCTAATTTAACTTTTCAATTGACTTTTCACATTAGATGTTTTTGGACTCCATCAACTTCAAATAAAATTATTTCAACACCTCACCGTGTTTTAGCTGGTTTTTAAATGTGTGTGTCTGTCGTTTGCCTGTACAACCATCTCCGTTACCCCTGAAAGACATTTAGAACTTACTGAAAGACTTAAAGCTACTCTAATGGACTATCACGAGTAACTCTGAAATAACCAGCAGAATCTAACACATTTGACATGTAGACTCACTCATAGGACACTTTGAACTTTTCAACGGACTTCTGGAAACTCCCCAAATAAGTTGATCCTCGTTAATGCCATAGGAACGCATACACGATTCTTTCTGTCACTACTAGAACCTCTAAAAGGTACCCTTCAGACCTTTTCTTACGGCCATTAATATTACTAATAGACATTTAAAACTGTGAATGTCCAAACTTCCCCAAGGACTCCTTGAATCTTGTTCTTAGTAGTACCTCCTCAATGAGAAAGAAAACCTTGCAGAGGACGACTAGAACCTCTGGGCTCATGAGTGATTTGTTTCCATAAGGTCAGACACACTGATAGATGTAGGTAAAGTAACTGTATCTATGTCCCTGTTTTAGCCCGTGTGGTTGAATTCACCAAACACCTGCGGGACCTGAAGATCACAGAGAAGAAGAGGGCAACATTTGAATGTGAAGTTTCTGAACCAAACATCCAGGTGATGTGGATGAAAGATGGTCAGGAGCTGGAGCTGTCCGACAGGTAGAGTCCTTGATAGTCAGTTGTGGGAACAATTACTGAGTTTTACCAACATAGGGATCAACTCTTAAACCTTCTACACCTTCTTTGTTTGCTACAGGTACAAAATGACATCGGACCAGTTTGTGCACCGTCTGGTTCTGCCCTCTGTGCGTCTGTCGGACGCCGGTGAATACACCGCTGTGGCCGGTTCAAGCATGTCCAAGGGTCACCTGGCAGTCGAGGGAAGAGATGTCAGAATCTCAGAGCCAGCCACCAGGGACATCACGGTAAGATTAGGTGGTAGACTCCATAAAAATGCACCAAATCCTGGGATTTTCATACTGTCTGTCAGTTTATGTGTGACGATGACAGAAATATTTTTCAGACTTTATGATCTTTCAGAGCACACACTGCCGATCATTTAATATATTCTTTTTCAGATATTTTGTCCTACAGGAAGAGATTTCTTAATAATTGTGACAATGATTATTTTTTTAGAAATACTAGAAGGACGTTTCTGGTGTTGAGCTAATCATGTGGTGTTTTTCAGGTTGTTGAGAAGCAGAGAGCCACTTTTGAGTTTGAGGTGAATGAGGATGATGTAGAAGGTCACTGGCTGAGAAATGGAGTGGAGCTCCAGTTCACTGTGGAGGAGAGGTTCAATTATGCCACCATCAGGAAGCTCCACCGTCTCACCATCTCTGAGACCTTCAGGAGCGATGCTGGAGAGTACACCTTTTTAGCCGGCAAAAACAGGAGCTCTGTGAACCTCCACGTCAGATGTAAGAGCTCCAGTCCTGCATCAGTCCAGCACTGCTTTCCTTCTTTGCGTGAAAAACCACTGGACAGTTTCTGAAAATAAAAGTGAAAAGCTTAAAAATGATTCTTGTACTGTTTAAATGTATCTGTTTTTAAATCTAATCTTTACTTTCTTCTATTATCATCAAAGTATTCTTTGACCAGAGGACCAAGCAGAGTATTAACCTTTCTTTCTTCTACTTTCCTTCAGTGCCAGAGCCACCTCAGATCATCCGGGAGATGCAGCCCCAAACTGCGATCTCGGGCAGGTCAGTTCGCTTCTCGACACAGGTGAGCGGCCTTCCTCAGCCTCAGGTGTTCTGGTACAAAGATTCTGAGGTTCTGTCCACCAGCTACAAGTGCAAGTTCCTCCATGATGGAGATGAGCATACGCTGCTGCTGCTTGAAGTCTTCCCTGAAGATGCAGGCATCTATAGCTGTGAGGCCAAAAACAACTACGGAGAGGTGACAAGCTCTGCATCTCTCACTGTGGAAGGTACATATGGAGTGTTTTATTGGAATTATGAATTATTAGCCACCAAATCGAGCGATGACTTACGGTGTCTTTGTCTTTTCTGCAGTTCTGGAGGTGGTTGAAGCCGTGGCTCAGGTTTCCCCTCCAGTCCTCATCGCTCCCATGAGGGACCTGCTGATCTCAGAAGGACATCCTGCCCAGTTCCAGTGCAGCGTCTCTGGGGAAGGTATTGACCGTTACTCGTCCCCTTTACTGTCATACGGCATTTTAAATACTCATTGACCATAAATCCTGTCGCAGCTGTCATCAGTGTGGTGTGCCGTAAACGGTTTTTCCTGACTATGAGAAAACACTTTCTCTCCAGATCTGCAGATTTCTTGGTTCTGCAATGACAGAGAGATTAAACAGTCGGACATCTTCAGGATGTCTCATTATGATGACACCTGCCTGCTGGAGATTTCCCGAGTTCTCCCCAGCCTTGAAGGAGAGTACTCGTGTGTTGCTACAAATTTGGCAGGAATGGTCACATGTGCCGCCACTCTGAATATTGATGGTGAGTTCAGCAGACGTTCGCATACTAATTGGATAAAACTGACAGGCTCTTACTGCACGTTCATCAGCTGCCAAGAAGGCCCTAAGTGGGTGCATGTTCCTCACAGGATTGATTTTAATTTTAGAATATCATGTGGATTTCCTGTAAGACAAGGTCTGATATGTATAACGTCCAACGTATCGAGAACCGATAGTCAAAGTTTAACAGCACTTGCTGACTACGGTGATATAATGATGGCAGCATGTAAGCACGTTCTGATTGGCCAGGTGTGCTTTAAGTCTCCCTCCATCCGTCCGGAGCCATGAGAGCGTGTTACACAAGAAGTGTACTTACTGGCAAAACATAAAAGGAAGCATCTATTGGCAAGCAAAGCAACCTTAACTGAGCCAATAGAAAGATGCATGGTTCAGCCGGGGGAAGTGGCAAGCATGTCAGCTGTACTGGAGATCAACGCTGCTGGCTGCACAAAGATTTTCCTTTTCTTTTAATATCCTCATGGAGGACAGAGCCTAGCTTAGCATTCACAAATAAAACTGTTCAATGTGTAAAAACATTTAAAATGTCGATTCAGGACAGATCAAATCTCCTGCAGCTGTCAGCGGCTAGCACTGACGCCACGTCAGCTCTTATACCGTCGTGGGGAAAACCATGAGCCCTGCTCATGTTACAGTCACTGTGTGCATGACGTCTCCTGGATCTTTGTGCAACCAGCCCTTGGACTGGAACGATTTTCCAGCCACTCCATCAAACTCAGATTTCATACTTTCAGTGCAATGATGTGAGAAACTGACTCGTTTCTGTGAGCATGCAGCTGCTCCACACTGAATCTGCTCTTATCCTCACTGGAAGCATCATCTTAAAGGTCTCTTTGCAATGCATGACGTCTTCTCTCCAACACAAACAGTATTAATGGTCTTTATTGCGAAACTGGAGTTTTCATGTCAGAGGAATGCCGCATGGTTCAGCCACTGCTGGACTTTGGAAATGTTCCTCACACTCAAGCACGGACGTGATCGCTGGCTGTGTTTTTCTGTTTGTTGTTGTTCTGTTCCAGTCGAGCTTGCATGATTGACAGCGGACACCCACCACTGTCCACTCCCTCACTCATCATTATTGATCCTCAACGCGCCACTCCCACTGCACTGTTGGCAACAGGCTGTGACAGTAACCTGGAGAAATCCGTAGCGTGATGATGTGTTGACCTAATTCTTCTACTCTTTCTTATTGCCCAGATAAAAAAGCCTTAGGTAGCGTGTCAAGCACTGGGGCTGAGGCTAAGCTATTTCAGAGACTGGAGGCTCAGAGTGAGAGTTTCAGCTCTCTGTCAGTGGGACAAACAGCCCACAGTGTTGAGTTTACTGAGACGATCACCGAGAGCTCCTCTGTGTCTTGGAGCACGATTGAGATAAGCTCGATGGAGAGGAGCTCTGAGAGCAGCTTTGACTTCAAACTCTCAGCCAGCCCGAAGCTGCTGATGGAAATGAGCGATGTCCGAGTGAAAAGTGGTGAAATGGCAGAGTTCAGCTGCTCATTCGACGGCCAGCCCTTCTCCGGGGTGATATGGGAACATAACGGCGAGAGCCTGGTGGACACCGAGCGGGTGAGAAGCTCTCAGAGCGGTGGCTTTTTGTCCCTGGTCATCCAGGGCGTCGGTGTGGCGGACCAAGGCACGTACCGCTGCACCGCTACCAACGAACATGGCCACAACAGCTCCTCTGCTCAGCTCACTGTTGAAGGTGGTTAATCTTTCTTTTTTTATCAGCCTGTCTCTCCATCTGGTCCATCCCACCTTTCCAGCTGCTCCTCCCGCTTAGTGCTCCCCCACCCCCATGACTTAATATTTAATATGTTATCCTGTAACCTCTTGTAGTGTAATAAAATAACAAACCCTAGTCCAGTTTATCCTCCCCTCCTGTCAGCTTCGCTACGCTAACCTCATCATTCATCCTATTAACCCTTTAGCATTTAGAGTCATGGCCATGTACTCTGTGACCCCTAATTACTTTTCCTAACTCTATTCTTACCCAGCTAAAGAAGCAAATCTCAAAGCAGAAACCCCCATCCCTACCGATTCAGTGCACAAAGTGTTACAGGCACACAGGGAGAGCCCTAGAGATCCCTCTGACCAAGACAAGCAGGAGGTGGTGGAGAAGCCGGGACCATCACCTCCATCTTCCCAGAGACCTCACAGCCTCATCAGCCTGTTGTATTTCCCTGACGTCGTGCCTAATGAATACCAAGGTCATCGCCCTTCCAGCTGCCCCGACTTCCTGATCAAACTCCCCCCTGAGCTGCTGATCAGAAACAAAGGCAGTGGCTCCCTGAATTGCGTCGTGAAGGGGCTTCCCACTGCGTTTGTCATTTGGCTTTACAACCAGTTGAATGCTGAGGAAACTGTGTGTTACTCTGTGAAAAATCAAGACCCCTCAAGCTGTATAAAAGTTAACAATGTGGGACCTGGAAAAGGGGGCTCTTACATTTGCAAAAATATCAGCTCAGCCGGAGATGCTGAGCGCAGCACAGTGACGAAAGGTTGGCATCTGCATGCTTTTGGTCCTTCTGCTCGCTAAGGCTTCTTTACACCACTCATTCACACTGCTCTTCACCCACACAGCCAGCAGAGGCACACTTCTTCACAGGGTGACAACACTTCTTCAACGAGGTCATAACCACTTTGTGCTCACACCACTTAGTGTTTGAAAAAAAGCCCAGCGGTGCTGCACACTAAGAGACCAAACAGGAGCATGCACAAACGTCAGTTAAACGAAACAAAAAAGGGATGGATGCACGAGCCACCACTGGTTCTAACAGTCTCCCGGGAAGCTTTAGGAATGTTTTTAATTTGTGAACATCTGTGTCTTTACAGTAACTACAGAGGAGAAGGTGACTCAGGTCCAGGAGGAGATAAAAGGTAAATATGGCTTTTATCGTGATGTCTCCATCCTTGGTCTTAGTTGTTTATGTTCTTTGTCTACAGGTTGTGTTGGTAAGAAGTTCAAGGGCACTTTTACGAGTTTACTTTGATAACTGAACCAAGTTCAGAGTGGACTCGGGACTTTTATTATCTGACTCTGATGATGTAGAATTTGTTTTGATTGAGGAAAAAGTCTTTGAATCCTGGATGCAGCGTTATAGAAGTTTTTAGTCAAACATGTAAAACACTGCTCCTGTACTGAAGCTGCAGTTGTCCTGTTTTCAGCAGACTGTACTGTGGTTGGAGTGTGAGGCTGATTTAACCTGTGATTATTCCACTCAGTCTTCTCTAGCTCAGCCGTCACAGTGGAAGAGGAAACCCAGGAGTCATACTTCACTGGCATAAAGTTAGCAGACAAAACCAAAACACTTGAACTCGAACCAGAGTCTAAACGCTTCTCCAGCACTTTGGAAAAGAAAAAGGAAAAACCAGTTTTCCTCAGTGAACTTTCTCCGGCAGCTGTGACTGTCGGAGAAACGGCTACGTTTACCGTCAGAGTGTCCGGCTTCCCTAAGCCCACCGTCCAGTGGTTTCACAATGGGCACACTATAACCAGTTCATCCGTGTATACATTTATTCACGAACACGATGAGTACAGCTTGGTGATTAACACAGTTCACAGGGAATGTGAAGGAGAGTACTCCTGCACGGTCAGCAACAGATTTGGCCAGTCAACCTGCACTTCCTACCTGCACGTTCAGGTGAAGGAGCCAGAAAAGCAGGAAAGAGCCGAGGAGAGAACATTTGCAGTGACTGGTAAGCGCCCAGAATTCACTAAAACTATAGAATCTCTTCAGCGGCAGGAGGGGGCTCAGGGTGTCTTCAGTTACACTGTGACTGGAGATCCTCTCCCTGAGGTCCAGTGGCTTAAAGGCACTTCCCACATCCAGCCTAGTGGGTTCTGTATCATTGTGAACAACCCGGATGGATCCGGGTTTATTAACATTAAGAGTGTAAAACAGGAGCACAGCGGCATTTACACCTGTAAGGCCTCAAACCAGTACGGGGAAGCCTCCTGTACTGCAGAGCTGCTGGTGTTCAGGGAGAAAGCTCAGGAAGAGGACACGTTAGTACAGAAAACACAAGGTTTGACGATATCGATGGCAGAACAAACCGCAGAACTCAGATTTCACCAGGAAAGATCCCGGTCTGAACACATGATCTATACCATTAGTACTGGAGACCGACAGATTATTCCCAGTGAAGAGGTGGAAACGCTCAGAGAGCTCAGCATCTCTTCTGCCACCCTTCATCGTGAGCAACTTACCCACCAGGCAGCGGTGCTGCAGTCCCATGAAATAGAGGAGAGGGTTTCATTAGCCCCCAGCCATCCACCTCAGGTCTCAGCTGTCCCTGTTAAACAGCATCACGTGGCTGCTTTCTTATCCTCAGTCCAGGAGAGACAAAAGATCACAGCGCAGCACTCTGAACGGATTCTCAGCCCCGAGGTGGTTGAGCTGGAGTCAGCCAAAGAGCAACCGCCCAAGCTCGTGTCAGCTACGTCTGAGGAGGTCCTTCCCCTCAGCACGGTGAGAGCTGAGGCACTGATAGGTCAGAGTCCAGAACACGTAAAGGCCTCCAGCGAGCCGAGGCAACTTGTTACTAGTCACCAGGTCGAGCTCGCTGTACCTATCGCTGATGAAATCTCAGAAGACATGCACAGACAAGAGGAGGAGAGGAGCTTCAGAGTCACAGAGGGGGTAAAGATTTTATACTCGGCTCAGTATGCAGGACAGCTTCAACTTACAGAAGGACACACTGAGCATCTTCCAGCTTTAGATGCAGACATTAAAGGTTCAGCTGGCAAAGAGCAGCCGAAACCAGTGGTAGCACCAGTGAGTGAAGCCAGAGTGGCTTTATCCAAAGAGCAAAAGCTTGAAACACAAAGACCAGAGCAGGAGAGCATTACCCCGTGCAAAGACATGGTTTATAATTCAGCCATACAGACCGAAGAGAAATATGAGCTCTGTGCTGATCAAACAGGACAAGTGCCACATGGGGCATTTTCTGTAAGTGTGCAGCCACAGCAGGAGGGAGAACAGCTTCTGAATCTGCAGGTTATCAGTGATCAGGATGTTTTACTGTGTGAGGGAAGGTTGAGCAGTGAAAAACCTCCAACAGAACAAGCAGAAGCGAGCAAAAGTCCGACTTTGCTGCATTCAGTGACTCAAGAAGAACAGAGGACTGTAGTTTGTGAGGCAGCTTCAGAATTCGAAACAAAGATGAACGCCACCTCTGTCCAGCCAAAGCAAGAGTTGGTGCAACCAAAACGCCTTCAGTCGGTCCATTCTCTAACAGTTTTACCAAAAGAAGGCATACTCGCTGTCACCAAACCTGACCAGCAGGTGGCAGCACAGAAACTGGAAAAGGCTAGATGGCATGCAGCTACCTCAGAAGAGAGAATGGAGGTCACTGCGGATTACCACAAAGATCTTGACATGTCTGTGATCAGCGCTCAACCACAGCCGCGTACTGAGTCCAGGCCTCTGCGCAGCCTTGCTGTGTCCTCCCAGCCCATGCAGCTCCCAAAAGAGACTCCTTTTGTTACGAGCGTCACGCAACAGCGAGCATTAGTCCAGAAAGAGGATTACTGGAATATCATGCAGTCTTTGATCATCACAAACAATCAAAGTCTGGAAGAGGGTCACACTACTAGCTTCGAAACTGATGAAAAATTTAAGCCTGAGATTAAAGTTGAGGCCAAGATACCAAAAAAGCCAGTTTTCATAGAAGAAAAAGCAATGGCCACCGAAAGCTGCACTATCTTAGAGGCGGCTGAGGGGGACTTTGCAGTCCAGATCCAGGAAGGTCAGTCGGTCCGACAGTCAGTGTTTCTAGAAGAAAAACAAGTCATCGTAGGAGAGCGGTCGAGTGAGATTGGTAAATTCGAGGGCTCCGCGGTCAGTGTTAAGACACAGCCTAAAGGGTTTCTTTTTGTCCCAGAGGCTCAGGATGCTCTGACTTTACCTAAGGAACTGAATTTCATCATTTATGCCCCCAAACCATCTAGTTTGAATGTACGACATCAGCTCAGAGATGCTCTTCACTCAGCTGTGGCCAGTAATCCACCAGTTTTACTGGCTGATGTTGTTGGAAGACTAGAGGCAGCGGAGGTCCATGAGGTCAAGGTTCAGAGAGAGCCCAGGCAGGCTGCATGTTCCTATCTTATCACATCTCCAGGTTCCCCCCTGGAGATCACGCTGACTTTTGAAGGTGATTACCCTCAGACAGCTGAGCTTAGGCATGAACTCCAGGTAGCTTTGCATGCTATGGTTTCCCAAGAACAGCCAAGTCTTACATCAGAGCAGCCGGGCACCATGCACACTGATAAGCCTCAAAAAGTGCAGGTCAGCTCAGTGTCCTCCAAGGAGGTGTTGTCTTCTGTGGTGGACTCTGTGGTGGTGGCAGAGAGCGCAGGCAGTTTACTTCCTGCTGTATCTCAGTCTGCAGCTCTGACGACAGAAGCCAGGGCTTCCTTTCAAAGTGCAACACTTCAGAGCCAAACCGAGGTCCACGAGTCCAAGAGCAGCAGGACGGTTAGATCAGAGAAGGACGGCACAGTATGCCAGGGTGAACAGCATGTGGACATTTTTGTCCACAGAGAAACCAGAGAGGAATATCTTTCAGAGGCAATCATGATCAGTGAGTCCTCGGACAGTATCACTGATTATCCCGTCATCGTAGATGTTCTGGAGGATGTCTGTGCTGAGGAAAATGGCAAGGCTGTGCTTACTGCCAGTGTTAAATACGTCACCAAAGTTAGCTGGTTTTTCAATGGGAAGCTGGTGAAATCTGGAAAAGAGTTCAAGTGTTTTAAAGACCGTGACACATACACACTAGTTATTGACAACGTTGTCAAAGACCGCCATCAAGGAGAGTATGTCTGTGAGGCTGAGAATGAAGTCGGCAAGACGATGACATCTTCGAGGCTGACTGTGGTGCCACGAGGTTTGATGATGGGAAATTCTTTGATATCATCATCATCCACTAACTTCACGCTAGGGCTGCTCAATTAATCAAATTTTAATCTCGATTACGATCTAGGCTGTCAACGATCATTAAAAATGACTGAGCCGATTATTAGCCCCTCCCTCGTGCTTTACTCTCACGCTGCTCCGTGTGGCAAATCGAGCGCACCTCTCTGCATTTCGAACACCCGTCACAACAATAAGAGGACCCGAGGGAAGCTCGGAAAACTAAGCAGAAGTTATTTGGAGAGGAGAGTGACTGCGGTTGGTTGAAAAGAGGTAAAAAAACTTCAGTGGTGTGGAGACATTATGGGTTCAGTCAGACGTGGATCAAGTAGACACAGTGTGTAAACTTTGCTACAGTGTCGTAGCTGCACCACAGAGCAACACTGCAAAGTTCACTAAACATAGATGTTTATATTTTTCATTTGTTTCTTATATTGCAAACATTTGCACTGTTATCAGTATTTGCACACTATTTTATATTATTTTTCAAAGTCATTATTCAATACATTGTTATTGTTAACCCTTTAAAGCCGGGCAGAGGCACGCTCCGTTTTGCGTAACTATTTTTAAATCCCTGTAGAACCGGAACTGCGTAAGCTAGCACAATAATTTGTTTTGCATATGAAACCGGAGGAGTTGTACTTACATCTTATGCCATCAGCTTGTCATTTCCTACCCGAAACAGGAAGTGACGTCATTTTCGCGGAAAATGTATTTTTTTTACTTGTAGGCCTTAAAAGCCTATACTGGTCATGTTTGACTTTTCTGAATAGTTGCTGGGATGCTTAGAACTCGAATTGCACTGCTGGAAATATTTTATTTTGATGCACATGCTGTTTTCTTTGCAAATTTGCATCATAGGATTGTTTTTTTTGCTTTTCCTGCAGTATATAAAAATTGCTGTATCTCCAAAATAAAACTATGAACACACTCAAGATAAATTTCCTGTGGTGGGAAACTATTTTTTGCAACTTTTTTGTATTTAAAGCTTTGAGGGATAAACCTCTTAAATTGTCAATTTTTTTGGAGTTTATTGCACTTTTTTGCAATTTATGTCGTTACTATGGACTTAATGCATACATAATATTAAAATATGGGCTATAACAGTTGTATAGCAACTTGAAATGCTCCCAATGGCACTACAGCATGTAATAAAAAAAAATATAAGCTCTGGCGGACTTGGTTCTATAGTAGGTCTTAAAGGGTTAAATAAATATCGTCAAATAATCGAGATCTCAATTTCAGTGAAAATAATCGTGATTATCATTTTTGCCATAATCGAGCAGCCCTACTTCACACTGTGGTGAACGTCTGCTGTCTGCAAACCTCAACCAAAACTCAAAGTTTAGGAAATGAGCACAAAGGCAGAACTGAAAATGGCTTACAGCAGGGGTCCCAAAGTCACGGCCTGTAAAACTGACGAACGTGTGCACTTATGTCTGCGTTTTTACTTTGTTAAATACGAACACAATGATAGCAGAAGTGCTGCCACGTGTGTGGGCAGACAGACCAGTGACGCCTCATTGAACTACGAAATAAACACAATTAGTGAGGAAAAAACGTCTCGTTATAAAATATTTGAAATTTGAAAAACAAACATTTTCAGAAGTATTTGTGGGAGTTTGCTTATTTGCTTTTCTTGTTCCACTTCAACACTAAGGTGGCCGTCCAATGAGAGGACGCTGCCAGCCCACAGCTCATTTACCTTCGAGACACCTGGCGTGCAGTTTTTTTCAAAAGAAAAGCATTTGGACTTTGAGGCTTTCAGCAGACAGCAGTGACATGATCACATCCCACTCCATCTACTCCTCTACAACCTTCACAGCCAAGCAGTCTCCTTTGACCACATGCCTTTAATCATTCATGTTTGCATGCCTTCTCTCCTTTTGTCGTCACAGACTTCCTGTTCATCACTTCAGCCTGTTCACTTTTTCTCCTCCACTTTCATCCCACCATAACTTTGTGTGTCGCTTTCCGTCCCAGGTTCACTTCATCACCGTCTCCAGTACAAACACTAATTTTTGTGTCATTTCAGCACCTGCTGTGTATTCACATGTTCCTGTTGCCTTTTTCTCTCTTTTGCAAACACAGTGAAGCCTGTGTTCAGGAACAGAATCGTCCCAGTGGAGATAAACATCGGCAGCTCTGCCAAGTTTGAATGTGAAACTGAGGACGCTCCAAACGTGAGCTTCAAGTGGTTCAAAGATGGACATCCCATCAAAGAGGGTGAAAAGTGCAGGATTATCAGTCGCTTCAGCGCTTCCTCCCTGGAGCTTCTGAGGACAACCAAGGATGACAGTGGCGAATACACCTGCAAGGCGTCCAATCAGCACGGCAGTGATGAATGCTCCGCCTCCCTCAGTGTCACAGGTAAGAGCAGTGCATTTTTCCTTCTTCTTGGCTGGTTGAGTTTGGAACTCATGTTGTTTTCATTCCCCTCCGAGGGGATGAATGGCGCGTTTTCGTCTTTGTGCTGGCGTTTTGTTTGTGCAATTGTTTCTTGCCCTGTTGGTTTGATTTCGGTTAAGGTAAAACTTATTAACACTGATTTGTTTCTCTTCTTCTTAATCCCTGTAGAACAATTTCCTCCTGTCTTTATAAGTAAGCCTGACCCTCAGACTGTGTATGTTGGAAAGAGGGCTGTAATGCAGTGTGTAATAGCAGGAACTGCTCCTCTGAATGTTGTCTGGCTTAAAGACAACCAGGCCTTACCCAAAGTGCCCGCACACTACCAGAGCTCTTGTGAAAAGAATAAGCACACTCTTGAGATACCCAGTGTTGAGGCAGCTGACAGCGGGCTTTATGTGTGCAAGGTATCTAACAAAGCTGGGACAGCTGAGTGCCACACGGAGCTGTGTGTTATCGATAAACCCAACTTTGTAAGGCCCCTGGGTTCAGTCGCCGCTGTGGTCGGAGCTGCTCTGCACCTTGAGTGTCAGGTGGATGAGGACACTGGAGTAACTGTCAGCTGGACCAGAGATGGCAGAAAAGTCCACCAGTCTCCCGACTGTAAACTGTTGTTTGAGGATAAGACAGTTACTCTTGATATCCTAAAGACCACACTGAAAGATTGTGGAAATTATGTGTGTACAGTGGCAAACGAAGCCGGCAGTGCGTCTTGCTCCACCACGGTGAAGGTACAAGGTAAGAGCTATCTAGTTAAGTTTCAGGGAAACTGCAGCATTTGTAACTTTTGCAAATCTGCAGTCCTGGAAGTTAACACAGTTCAATTCTCTGGTGTCCATTTTAGATGATAGACAGCGACTTAAATCTCTCCTCTTTCATTGCGTGGTTGCTGTTTTTAAATGCAGTCTTTGACTTCACAATAGCTTTTTGTTAACCACACACCTCTGCAGAGCCACCCGTCTTTGTAAAGCGGCTGGAAGCCACAACGATTTGGAAGCAGGGCAGCACCGCTCGCCTGCAGTGCACCGTCAAAGGATCTCCCGAACTCCACAGCACCTGGTTCTTGAATAACAGTGAGCTGTCCACTGGTGGCAGACACGCTGTCGGTCTGAAGGACGGTGTCGCCACTCTCGAGATACACGATGTCCTGTTGACTGACAGTGGAAACTACACCTGTGAGGTTCTCAACGAGTGCGGGTGTGAAAGCTGTAGCATTAAAGTAACAGTGAAAGGTGTGTCGAGTTTTTGGCAACAAAAGGCCCAAGTCTGTGCAAAAACACATATAACCGAACTGTATGTTCCCTTTAGAACCTCCGTCATTCAGAAAGGAGTTACTGTCCACCGAGGCAGTCAGAGGGTCGGTAGCTGTGCTGGAGTGTGAGATTGCAGGCTCTGCACCACTCGAAGTGTCTTGGAAAAAGAATAAGAAACGCCTGTCCTCAGATAAGAAGTACAGCATAGTGTCACAGGGATCGCTGGCCTCTCTGGAGATCCAGTCCTTTGAGAGCGCTGATACTGGTGAATACGAATGTGTCATATCCAACGAGGTTGGGTCAGCAACCTCAAAGTCAGTACTTAAACAAAAAGGTTAGTGGTGTAAAAAAGGACTTTCATTACAGCGTCCCACAGTCTGGCAGGTGTTGACATTATGATACCAATCGTGTTGTTTCAGAGCCACCTGTGTTCTCAAAGAGGATTGAGAGCGCTACAGCGGTTTTGGGAAATACAGTGAAATTACAGGGAACCCTGAAAGGTTCAGTTCCCATCACCATTAAATGGATGAAAGACTCTGAGCTCCTCAGAGATGATGATCCCAACATCAAAATGTCCTTTGTGAACAACATCGCTAGTGTTTCCTTCTCATCTGTTGAGCTGAAGCATGGTGGGAAGTATACTTGTCTCGCCGAAAATGAGGCAGGACAGCAAAAATGTGAAGCTATCTTAACTATTCAAGGTTAGAAAACATTCCCATTACAAATGTCCTCAGAGTTCAGATCTAACTGTTTGTTAAGTGTAAAATTCAATGTGTTTTAGAACCTGCTCGGATTTTAGAGAAAGCAGCCTCCATCAGCGTGACTGCAGGCGACTCTGCCACGCTGGAGTGCACCGTCTCTGGAAGCCCTGAACTCAAAGTGAAATGGTTCAAAGACGGCAAGGAGATGATCGGTGGTCGTAAATATAAAATAGCAGTTAAGGAGAACACTGCCATTTTAAAGATTCTCGCAGCAGATAAAGGCGACACTTCCGAGTACAAGATGGAAGTGTCCAATAAAGTTGGAAAAGATGAGTGCACGTGCTCGGTTACAGTTATAGGTCGGTGTTAGTCAATAAAACATCATTAATATCAATTTGTCCGATCAGCACAAGTGGAGCTTGTAATATGTTTGATATACTTCCCTACACAGATCGTGCAGTTCCCCCGTCCTTCACCAAAACTCTAAAGAAAGTGAATGGGAGCATTGGCAGTAATATCACGTTGGATTGCAGGCTTGCTGGATCTCAGCCGATGGCTCTGTCTTGGTACAAAGACAATAAAGAAATCCACAGCGATGCAAAATATAAGCTTGATTTCAGTGAGAGTACAGCCTCTGTGACAATAACTGGCCTGGATCAGAGCGATGGTGGAGTTTATACATGCAAAGCTTCTAATGATGCTGGAGAAAAAGAAACCAGTGGTACTCTTTCCATCAAAGGTCAGAGAAGCTGCATTACCTCAAGTTAAGCAGTAGCCATTAGAGATCAGCACAGGCTTAGTGACAGGGTGTGAACTGATCTGCTGTATTTCTTCCCAAATGCCTCCAGAACCTCCAGCCTTTACCTCGAAACCTGAATCTCTTGATGCATCCCCGGGATCAAACGTTGTCTTAAAGTCTGACTTTACGGGATCGGCTCCACTTACCGTTAAATGGTTCAGAGAGGAGAAAGAGATTTTCACTGGGGGAAAGTATTTCATAAAGAAAGACTCCTCTTCCAGCTCCCTGGAACTTCATTCTGTGAAACCCAGTGACTCTGCCAAATACACATGCCAAGTATCCAACGACGCTGGGAAGGTTGACTGCACTGCAGCGCTCTTCATAAAAGGTGCAGAAAAGCTGCTGCTTTCGTTCTTTCTTTAAAAAGTGTTAAAAAGCTGTTTCCTTTAATTAACCTCTTTATCGCATCTATAATTGTTACTCTTGATTTACAGAAGCCCCAACATTTACGATGAAGCTTGAACCTTCAAAGCTGCTGAAAACAGGACAACCTCTGGAGTTGTCGTGCAAAGTGCAGGGCACTCCTGTTATTACTGTCACATGGTTTAAAAATGGCTCAGAAATGGTTTCAGACCGCAGACACAACATGACCTTCGACGGCTCGTTGGCCACTCTGGAGGTTGAGAGTTGCTCTGTAGAGGATAGTGCAGATTACGTCTGTGTGGCATCCAGCGAGGCCGGCAGGGAGCAGTGCAGCAGCTCAGTAACAGTGAAAGGTTGGTTCACTCTTCACCGGTCAAAGACTCCGTTTCCAACACCAAGATTAAACCTGGTTCAAGACGCAGGTCTTCATCTAGGTTTAGTTTATGAAACTTGCTAATTGATTTTACTCTTGTTGCTGTCCTCAAACTTTACATTTGTTTCCATCTAAAGTCTGGTCCACATGGGTTTCTCACATGTTCGGTGCTGCATGCATTATATGGACGTCAGTGCAGGGTTTAGTTACTCTCCATCAAAGCAGAGACTCCCAGTAACAGTATATTTGTAAGAAGCTAGGAGGGGTTTCTGGGGTTTCTGGCCTGACTGTTGGTGTAAATGGTTGTCAGCCATGTTATTAACAGCTGACCTTTTCGTACAGATGTTTCATGGACAGACTGCATTAACTGACAGTGTGAACTTGTGTTTTGAATATGCCGTGCCATGCTAACCCTATAAATCAAAAATAAAGAGCCAAGCAGGTTATTCAAATGCTCTGAAATGTCCATGTTTTATGAGGGTGCGTTGGCCCTTTGCCTCAGCAGATGGTCTAAAGAAATAAACCCATGACACATTACCTGTAACCCAAGGATTACCAGTCATTTAAAAACCACTGTCTGCTACAGGTTCACTGTTACTCAGAAAACCTAGAAACTAGAGTTTAAAGGCTAAATGAACTCTGTGGACCAGACTTCCCACATCAGACTAGAATTATTTCTTCATGCCTGTAAATGTAATTTTATTCTCTGTTTTGTAGAGCCTCCATTGTTTGTGAGGCCTTTTGAATCAGCTGAGCTTGTTACGGAGTCTGAGATTATCTTGGAAGCAATCGTTTCAGGTTCCCCTCCATTTGAAATAAGCTGCTTCCTCAACGATAAGCTGATCAGAAATGACAAAAGACATAAAATCAGCGTGGAAAATGATACAATCACTCTTCAGATCTCACACTGTGAGGCCGGAGACGAAGGAACGTACAAGTGCACTGTTTCAAACGATGTTGGGGAGACATCTTGCTCTTGCCAGATTTCTCTAAAAGGTTTGTGGCGGGAGAGTTTGCCTTGCTGCATGCGTCCACTTTCATTGCAAAGGTTTAGGATTTCAGTTTCATTTAGACTGCCTGTGAATGATGACAACATATGTGTTTTCTCACTAGAACCACCATCATTTGTTCAAAGACTAAAGGATATGTCCTGTATTGTGGGCTCTGAAATCTCCATGAAGTGTATGTTGTCTGGGTCACTTCCCATGACTTTGTCCTGGATCAAGGACGATCGTGAGCTTACGGAAGACGAGCATTTTAAGATGTCCTGTGAAACCAAAAGTGCCATGTTGAATTTGAAAAATGCTCAGTTGTCACATGGCGGGAAATATGTCTGTCAGGCGCAGAATAAAGCCGGGACCCAGAGATGTGCCGCGGTGCTCATAGTGACAGGTTTGTACGATGTTCGTGGGTCTCAATCGTCCGCTTTTGCCTTTGTGTCGAGCTCGCCGCTTCATCTGTCGCATGCAGCGCAG